GCGGGACCCCACTGCCCACACCCTTCCAGGTCGAAACCGACCCATCCACCACGACTCTCTGGGTGCGACCCTCCAGCCAATTCGCCACCCACCGGACTGTGTAGTCATCCAAGTCACAGCCTCTTAACTTGTTCACCAGTATGGTGAACTTAAGTCCTGACAAGAGCTGCTCCCCCTAGGAGAAAACCAGCCAAGTCCCAAATCCTAGAGACACTAGGAGAGGGTCCAGAGGAGGGCCACCCGCATGATCCGGGAACAACAGGGCAGACCCTACAGTGAGAGACTGCGGGACTTGAACCTATTCAGTCTCCACAAGAGAAGGCTGAGGGGGGACCTGGTGACCGTCTATAAACTCACTAGGGGGAACCAGAAGGGTTTGGGGGAGCCGCTGTTTCCCCTAGCCCCTGCTGGCATAACAAGGAATAATGGGCACAAGTTGATGGAGAGGAGGTACAGATTGGACATCCGAAAAAACTACTTCACAGTTAGGGCGGCTAGGAGCTGGAACCAACTTCCAAGGGAGGTGGTGCTGGCCCCTACCCTGGGGATCTTTAAGAAGAGGCTGGATACTTACCTGGCTGGACTCATTTGAGTCCAGTTTTTGTTTTTAGGGTGAGTGTTTTTTTTTTTTTTTGGGTTGTTCTCCCGCCCTGGCCGGGGGTCGGGCTAGAAGATCTATTAGGTCCCTTCCGACCCTGAAACTATGAAACTATCTCTTCCTTCAGGTGTCTGGCTTTGCTGCCCGCAGCCCCAACATGCTGACAGATGTGCTCCCATGCCCAGCGCTGTGCCTCTCACAGGAACTCCCTTCGCCCCGTGAGCTGTGCAGGCAGAGACGGGTCCAGGGGAAGTGTAAGAGAGTCGAGACCAGCAGTGTGACCTCGGTTTGTTCCCACCTGGCGGAGCTGAAGCGAAGGCAGAGCAGTATTGATGAGTATGGAGGTGACCTCGCTCCTTTCCCAGGCAGAGGTTTAGGCACTGCACCGGGCTGCACACATATGGGAGCCCAGAGGACACTATAAAGCCCAGTCCCTACACAGTATTTAGGTTATTAGATGGGGTTGCACTTTCTCCCTGCAGATTGAAATCAAAAAACCCAAAACAGGACACCTGCCTCCTTGACCATTGTTTATATATTTAAAAAACAGTTGAGTCTGCTTCTCTCTTTCACACCTGACACACCACAGCACTCCAGCTGGGGTGCCCCAAATCAGGCATGATATTCCCAACCTGCCTATCCCATGTCATGCCATGTCCTGTGAGTGTCCTCAATGCCCCACAGGCTGAAGAAGCTGACGTGGGGAGGTTACATGTTCCACACTGCCTCGGAGGATCAGGACGGCACTGCCGAGATCCCTAGAGACTCACTCACCCACAGGGCCACATCGACAGCTCCGTGGCCGGGCAACGTGGACCTGCTCTTTGGTGGCTGGAGCAAGCAGGTGAGCGGGATGTCACTTATCCCAGAGCAATTCCCCAAATTTATCCTGGAGTCGGAGCAGGCACATGGCCAGCTGCTGAGCTCCAGGGGAACAGGGGCTGTGGCCATCCCAGGTGGCCACCCCATGTGGTAAAGACACTGGGAGCAGACACATGACACACATCCTGGGTTAACTTTCTCCAGAGTAAATCCCATTCTGTCTTCATCCTCTCTTTCTCTTTTGGGATAAAGTGCCCTGTCTGGGGCTATGCTGCGATAAACGTGAGCTATTTGGGGATAGACATGGCCTATTCTGGGATAAATGTACCATGTGTTCAGGGGAGCCACTAACTCTCTCTATCCTGCTCCCTTGCAGCTCAGATATCCAGGATGGAGCCCAGACGTGGGAGACCCCTATGAGCTGGCTCCCATGGATGAGCCCCCGCTGCCGGCACCGTGCCGCTTGTTGGAGACCTTCTGGGGCTTTGGATGGTGCCCAGAAGAGTGACCCAGGCCATGGGACCTCGTTCCTCATCCTTCCCACGGCAAGTGGTGGGGCCTGGAGCACACCGGCACAGTGTTTCCATGGCAATGCAGCAGGAGCCCATGTTTCTCCTCTGCTTCCCCCCACGCGTGAGGAGGCGTGTTGTCACCTGGCGCTTGCAAGCAGGGGGTGACACCGACCGAGCCCCGGGGGAGCAGGTTTGGGGTGTTCACCTCCTCCAGGCAGCCTTGGGTGGGTCAACCCCCTCCCCCCATCCCCAGACCCCAAAGCAGAAGGGCCCCCTCAGGAGCTGGATCTTTGGGTGTGCGTGAACGATCCCAACTCCACCCCACAGAGCCAAGCCCCCCGCACATGCCCAGGAAGAGAGAGGAGAGACCCCCGCATGCTGCCGTCCCACCTGCTGGCTCCATCAGGATGGGGCATCGCTCTCTCCCACCCCAGCGAAGGAGCCTGGCTGGGGACTTCTGCTCCCCCTTTGCTGGAGTTGCAATGTGGCCCTAGGGAAAGCAGCCCCCCGAATCCTGGGACATTGCAGCCCCGCTTTATTATTATAAGCAATTAAATTTGGGGGCTATTTCCTTGCAATTGATCATTTCCCTGCGCCCCTGCTCTGGACCCCCAGCTGCCACGGTGTAAACCCCACCACCCAGGGTTGGATGCACCCCCTCCTGGCACGACAAGGCTGGATGCAAACCTCCTTGCACTGTACCCCGCCCCTTGCACGCATTCGCCCCGCCCCGGCCGTGCGCGCTGAGCTCAGA